TTGAAGAAATATAAGTAGGAGAACTATGTGCTTTTCTCATTTTAATCCTTATCACACCAGTTCTTTGAACTCATAAACACAAAGTAAAGCATTGTTTTAAAAGAGAAAGACCTTCCTACTTCTTTGGAGCTGATTTGGTAGTTTTTACATTACTGATGCGTTAATATTCATGCCCTACTCATTTAGAAATCTTCAGTTTATTTGATTCATCTGTCCTTCTCTGTGATCCCAATAGCACAGACCTCTGTGTGACTCTTATCACTTTGTTTTGTCATTAAGTGGTTCCCCTTGCCCTGCTTATCTGTTCATGAGCTCTCTGAGGGCTGGGAACTGTCTTACTCACCTTAGTATTTCCGACATAATTCAGAGCCAGGTCCAGAGTAGGTGCTGATGGACACCTTCTAACTGATGGACACATGAATGATGACCTGGTGACTATATAAGGGATTTTTCCAAGTCAGGACACATTTGAATGTGAAAATGGGTGCTATTAATGATTGTGCTAGGACAATGGGTATAAAGCTGGGCTTGCCCTGGCGAACTGGGATATATGGTCACCTTAGTAATCATTATAATGAATTATCAGAAGAATTGTAAACATTCTAATTCTGGAGGCTTTTAGAAGGCAGTATTATTCTATTTGTCCAAACTGTTTTAGAGCAATAGTTCCCACAGCATGGGAGACGTAATGGTATAGGAGATGGTTTTCGGTGGCAAGGGCATCAAGATTAAATAATACAGATTCACATTCTCATAACTCAATTCTCTGTGTGAGTCTTCTTTATTCTAGTTATTATAAAAAGAAAGTATCAGTGTGGTGCTAGATTACCTTTAACTCCTTGAACCTCTGCTAATCTTCCTTTTCTATGAACAAATGTTGGAATCGGAGCCTTTGAATAGAAAATGGTATCTGGTTAGAAGTCAATATTATTAGGTTAATTATAATTTTTTTAGTCTTTCCTTCTTTTCATGACTAATTATAGTGATTTTCCAGGTAGAATTGGGATATAAAATTCAATATTGAATGTATCTTTAAAAATAAGAATTAGAAGATTAAAAAATATGATAAATGTTGTATACAGATTTTGGCAAAACACATGAAGTTCATATAGAAATGACTACAGTTTGGGAAAGTAGTTCAGACCAATTATTCCATCTGTTTTAGTCAGCCCATGCTGCTTTAACAGAAGACCATAGACTGGGTGGCTTAAACAACAGACATTTATTTTGCACAGTTCTGGAAGCTGGGAAGTCCAAGATCAGGGTGCCAGCATGACTGGGTCCTTGATGAAGGTTCTCATCCTTTCTTGCAGGCAGCTACATGATGAAGAAGAGAGAAAGCTCTGGTGTCTTTTCCTGTACTTACAAGGGCATTGATTTCAGCATGGGACTCCATCCTCATAAACTTCACCTAAATCTAGTTACCCAAGGGCTCCACCTCCTAATACCATCACATTGGGGGTTAAAGCTTCAGCATACGAATTTCAAAAAACATTTAGACTGTAACACAAGCCTTATTTCTGAATTTAAGCTTTGGGGTCCCCATTGTTTTGAACATATTCATATGAAATTAATTTAAATTAAAATAATTTATATACTTCTATTTACTTTTATAATCTTTCTCTGTGTAAAGTTTATGCATGCTTAGAGTTGCAATATGATCCTGGAAAATACATAGCAGAATAACCATGAGAATTTAAATCACACAATATTATAATTCAGGGACAAACACATTTGATACATGAGTTTCACTTTTTTCATTGTGTACTTTTAGAAATGTAAGGATTTTGGATCGCCAAATGTTAATACATATGTAAATTTGGATTTACATAAAATACATAAAAGAGTTGTGAGTTTTCTTTAAATTAGAAACAATGAACAGGTCAGGAGCCGTGATAGGCCTGGAGTGAATAATTCCAACACTTTGGAGGGCCGAGGTAGGAGGATCTCTTGAGCCCAGGAGTTTGAACATAGGGAGACCCCATCTCTAAGAAAACATAAAAAAGTTAAAACAGTAAGCTGGGCATAGTGGTGCCCGCCTGTGATTCCAGCCATTCAGGAGACTGAGATGGGAAGATTCCTTGAGCCTAGGAGGTCAAGAAGCAGTGAGCCGTGATGGTGCCACTGCACTCCAGCCTGGGTGACAGAGTGAGACACTGTCTCAAACAAACAAACAGAAACATTTAATAATAGGATGACTTTAAGTCTCAAACCTTTCCTTGTGTACTTAAAAGTTTAATTTATTCAAAATTTATATACATGTAATATTTAGCACTAATCACATAATTTAAGGCACATCTTTACTAAATAAAACTCCATACAATTTCAATCAGTTATAATGAGATAAGTGCAAGAGAAATGAGTAAAGCTTCCTTTGGAAATTTTGCATTTAAACTCTTACCAGAGACATACACTTCCTAACTGTTAGCAATCTTACCTCTCTACTACAGAAGAATAAAACTATAGCAGATTGAGTTGTGTTCTAATTTTCAATAAAAGGAAATGATTCCATTACCTTATCAATCCAACAGTTGTAAGGAGAAAATTTTCTACTTATGAGAACTTTACAGGTGTCAGAAATGTGTATTTACATTTTTTTCCGAAACAGAAGGACATCAACATGGTTTAATATTATTACCTTAATCACAAACAGGCAAGATAGTTAAAAACAATGAAAACAAACAGCAAAAATAACAACCACTGCATGCCAATATAATATCCTGCTTTTCCACTGACAGTTTTATTTTCATCTCCCTGTCTAAGGATTTCTTTATTCATAAGGAGAATGACTATACCATCATTTGATTTTATATTATGAAAGTTGTTGGAATAATCTGATCTTCTTGTAATACTTTGTTAGAAAACACACTGAAGTTAAGGAAACAACCCAGAATCTTGAAACAAACTCCTGCCCATGCCTTTGGCTTTATTCAACCTAAATGCTAATAATTTTAAAGACTGTAGTCTCCAAGAAGACTAGGAATTCACAAAGTTGGCTATATCCTCTGTGCCCAAAATTGCGCTTGGTTCTTAGAAGACTCTTAAATATTGTTGAATGAATGAACCATCATCATAAAAGCTACTATTTAGGAACATAAATGTATGTCATGTGTGATAATCAAGATATATTTGAAACTGTCATTTAGTATGCCAATTCTAGTTCTCACAGCAACCCTAATCTATGGTTACTATTTGCATTGTCTCATTGAGAAAACAGGCTCAGAATGTGAAGTAATATGCCAAGTTCATATGGGGATAGTATTAGGAATTCAAAGCTATATATATCTAATATCAGTGCTTCATTTTTTTCTCCTATATATGGCCTCAAAAAGGGCATGACATATTAAAATGGAAAACTCAATAGTTTACATTCAGAATCAGGTTATTTCATGTGGTCAGAGGATATTAACATTACTTTTAAAAACATTGAATCTAGGTGTGTTTCTGGAATTGTGAAACAGATTTTCCCAGTGTGTTGCCTCTAAGAGGTTAGGGACAGTCTTTGATGAATGATAACATTATTAATACTTTTAGACTATGGTTAAAAAACAACAAATATATGTAAGTATGTATGCGTGCATGCTTATATGTATATGGTACATTGTCTTCAATTTTCCTTTGTCACTGCCTAACTTTTCTCACCAATCTGGCACCTGGGGGAAATAAAGAACTAAGAGATACCTTGACTGGATAGCTCCTTTCCATACCCTGTCTCTCTTCGGAAGCTGAGCTGCCTTTTGAGGTGAATGGGCAACTGTAGCCAAAGAGAGCCCAGAATATCTCAAGAAAGCAGTAGAGGGTAGCACCTAAACAACGCTCCAGGAGATGGGAGCATCAAAAAGATTTGTTCACCAGAATTTACAGTTTCCTGCAACTTTATAAATAATTCACTTGGGTAATGTTTCATCAAGAAACACAATTACCCTGAAAGCCTGAGAATCTAATGGGCTTATTTAAAAAATGTCTAAATAGAAGCACATCAAGGCTTTGACCAAACACCCTTCCCTAACCTTGTTATGTTTTCTTCCTTCTTGGAGATAAATCTGTAAAACACAAATGAGTTTGTTGTAATTGCCCACCTAGTGTGTAAAATTACAGCTTCAGTGTCATGCTTAATAGGCAATATGCACAAAGTATATGAACCCAGCTAAGCACATAGATTTCTATTTTTATTTTTTTTTATAGCAAGCAGTTGGACACTGCTCATCTCTGGGAAAAAATTTATTGAAGCAGACTTTATTTTACCTCTTTTGCTGACTTATTTTTTTCTGTCCTAAGATACAGATATTTTAGGTCATCTGGTCCTGAAGCATGAATTTTGGCCAAAGCCTTTTATTAGGTTGGTGCAAAAGTAATTGTGGTTTTTGCCAAATAATGCACTGGTCTATACATATTTTTTCTTGACACACATACCTGGCATGAAGTAATTATAAAATTAAATCTTCTGGTCACGAGGTGAAATCAGCAGAAAAATGTGGTTGATTTATAAAACTCTATCACCATTCTCAAGGATAGATCCTAAGTATTTGCCAAAGATGATGGTTCCTCACAGAAGACAAATAAGATTGACTAAGTGGTAAAAGAGTGAGATCTGTGTCAGATGGCCTGGTTTGAACCTATGCCCCACTGTATATGAACTGTGTGACATTGAGCACCTTCCTTAACTTTCTGTACCTCAGTTTCCTTGCTTATTAACTGTGGATAACGATTGTTCAAATCTATGGAGGTTACTTTGAGGATTAATTCAGTCAAAAAAAATGGAAGGCACATAGGGAAAGACTGGGGCATGGGAAGCACTTTAAAATGCTGATTGTTCTTAATTATCCTAAGCATTATGTGAGATAAGCCTCACTTGCTATGTGAGGTTCTTCTTAGCATGCTGAAGGCAAGCCGCAAATATTAATTTAATAAATGAATGGGAGCTTCCTGGAGTTTACACCCCCCAAACTGTGGCTATATCCATTTTTTTCTGATTTTCATTCTGCTTTCCATCCCTGTAGGTTGTATTTAGGGGTCAACATTTTCTTTCCCATTCTTCTTACAAAGTTTCCACAGAGGATCTCCTTGATCAATGGAGAAGACAAAACAAAGAGACAATTTGTCAAACGAGGTACTGTTCTTTCCTTCAAGTGACAAATCTTTGGTGATATGTTTGAGCTAACAAGATTTTGAATTTTCACTTTTCTGCTTGTTTACAGGTATCGCTTTACAAAAAAGCACCATTTGCAAAATAAACTCATCTGAAGGCTTCCACAGGGAATTTCCCCCAATAAAAGGAGATATTAATTATTTAAAATTAGATCAGTGGAGAGGATTCTGGGAATTCAATGGAGTAGTAAGCACCAGGACTCCATCGCCCCACCTAGACAATAATTGCACTGGTAGAATGTGTTTGATGTAATAATTTTGAAACTCTGGAGTCTATTGCATGCTTCAGACTTCTAAGGGAAAGCTTGGATAGTAAATTCTGGTTAATTTTAGTTAATTTCAGCTCTTAGCACAGTAGTAGCTATTCATCTCCCACTCCCAGCTCTGTGGCAGGCAGCTGTGCAGGTGTTACTGGAGCAGCTTGCACACAGCCTGATAGAGCCGAAGTGGGGAAAAAATATTCTATCCTCCAAATGTAGATCAGTGCTATGATTGCTGATTCCTGCTTCTGACCACGGAGGAATAGGCAGCAATATTTGCTACACATCGCGCTATTGTTGACAGCCCTTCCTCCTCCATCTGAGGTGACCTCTAAGGGATTTAAAGGGCTAGAGCACCCTTTCTTTTCTCCCCTCTTCTTGTCTTTTCCCAGTTGGGAGGCAGATATCAAACACAGGACAGTCACAAACAACTTTATATACAGGGAAAGTTAGAAAGTAACTGCTCTTGGCGCAGAGGGAGGCACGGCTCAGAAAAGTTTTAAAAAGACCTTAGGTTTCCATTTTTAGGTATAGAGACTGTCTACAGTATTAAAAATAAAACCCCCAAACAATAATTTTACAAAGTAGAGCCTGGTTTATAGAATTAGAGTTATCAGTTTATTAGATTCAAATGTCCACTTTTCAAAAAAAAAAAAAAATGACACACACGGAGACACATTCTAATCAGACTTTCAGGCTGAAGACAAAGACAGAATTTTGAAAGCAAGACAGAAGCAACTCATTGCATACAAGGGATCCTCCATATGATTATCAGCAGATTTTTAAAATCAGAAACTTTGGAGGCTAGAAAATAATGGGGTGATATATTCAAAGCACTAAAAGAAAAAAAATCAACAAATAATCCTATGTCTGACAAAACTGTCCTTCAAAAGTGAGGGGAAAACCATTAATAACAAATTTCCAGTTAAACAAAAGGTGAGGAAATTTTTACTACTAGACCTGCCCTGCAAGAAGTGTATAAGGGAGCCCTGCAAAGTGAAGTTAAAGGACAGCAGACAGTAACTCAAAGCTATATGAAGAAACAAATGCCTCAATAAAGGTGAATACACGGGCCATTATGAAAGCAAGTATTATCATAAAAATGGATTGTGATTCTAGTTTTCATTTTCTATATAACTTAAGAGCCTATTACATTTGGAAGAATTATTAGTTTATGTTTTTGAGCAGAGAATGTATAAGGATGAAATTTTGTGACCTCAGCAATTCAAAGACATGGAAATAGAGTTGTAAAAAGCATAGTTTGTGTATGATATTGTATTAAACTGGTGTAAATTCAACATAAAGTGTTATAACTTTAGGATGTTACATGTAATTCCTGTGGTAGCTACAAAGAAAATAGGTATAGAATATACACAAAAAGAAATGAGAAAGATACTTAAACATTACAGTATTAAGGATCAACTAATTATTAAAAAAACAGTAATGCAGAAAATGAGGGTAAAAAAGCCATAAAGTATATAGAAAATAAATAACAAAATGACAGAAGGAAATCTGTCCTTATCAGTACCTTAAATGTAAGTGAATTAAACTTTATATTCAAAAAGCAGGTTAGCAGAATGAATGAAGACACATGATCCAAGTTCAACAGCATATGCATTCTTCTCAAGATTGGGACGTGGGACATTTTTCCATGATTCACCGTATGTTAGGATTCAGACTCAGTTTCAATAGATATTAAAAAATAGACATTATACAAAGTATATTCTCTGACAACAATGAGATTAAATTAAAAATCAATGACAGAAGTAAAACTGGAAAACTCAAAAATTTGTGGAAACATACAAGCAATGGATCAAAGAGGAAATTACAAAGAAAATTAGAAAATACTTAGAGACAAATGAGAACAAAACTACAACATGTGAAAACTTATGAGATACAATTAAAGCAGTGTAAGAAGAAATTTTATAGCTCTAAACACTTACAATAAAAAATAGGAAATATCTCAAATCAATAACCAAATTTTACAAGTAAAAGAACTAAAAAAAGGGGGAATCTAAACTCAAAGCTAGCAGACTAAAGGAAATAACAAAGGTTAGAAAAGAGATAAAATAGAAAATAGAGAGAAAAATCAATGAAATCAAAAATTGGTTACTTGAAAAGATTAATAAAATTGACAAACCTTTAGCTAAGTGTATTAAGAAAAAAAAATACTCAAATTACTAAAACAGGAATGAAAGTGATGACATTACTACTGCTACTACAGAAAGAAAAAAGATTATAAGAGAGTACTATAAATAATTTTACACCAGACAACTGGATAACCTAGATAAAATGAAAAAATTTTAGAAACAAAACTTACCATGACTAAATCATGAAGAAATAGAAAATTTGCTTATACATATAACTACTAAGGAGGTTAAATGGCAATCAAAAGTCTTCCAACAAAGAAAAGCCCTGGACCTGATGGCTTTGCTGATACAGTCTACCAGATATTTAAAGAAGAAAAAATGCCAATTCTTCTCAAACTTTTCCAAAAACAAACTGAAGAGGAGGGAATAATTCCTAATTAATTCTATGAGGCCAGTATTACCTTAATACCAAAGTTAAACAAAAATACTTCAAAGAAGTATAGACCAATATCCTTTATGGAAATTGATGCAAAAATCCTCACCAAAATACTAGCAAACAAAATTTAGGATTGTTTTAAAGGACTTTGACCAAGTATGATTTATTTTTGGAATGCAAGGATGATTCAACATATGAAAATCAATCAATGTCATATATCACATTAAAAGAATGAAGGAAAAAAGCACATGATCATCTCAATTAATGCAGAAAAATTATTTGATAAAACTTAACACCTTTTTGTGATCAAAACGTTAAAAAAACTAAGAATAGAAGGAAATTACCTCAACATAATATAAGCCATATATGAAAAACCCGCAGTGAACATTACACTGAATGATGAAAGACTGAAAGCTTTTTCTCTTAAAGCAGGAACAAGGCAAGAATACCTGCTTTCTTCATTTCTATTTAGCATAATACTTGGAAGTTCTAGTCAGAGCAGTTAGGTGAGAAAAATAGATAAAAAGCATCTAAATTGGAAAGGAAGAAGTAAAATTATCTCTATTTACAGACCATATGATCTGGTCTGTCTAAAAGACTAAAAACCACACACACACACACAGAGTTAGAATTAACAAACGAACTTAGTAAGACAGCAGGATACAAAGTCAACACACAAAAATCATTTGTATTTCTATATACTAGCAATCAACAGCCTGAAAAGGAAATTACAAAAGTAATTTCATTTATAATAGCATCAAAAAGAATAAAATACTTAGGAATCAACATAACCAATGAAGTGAAAGAATTGTATAATGAAAATTACAAAACCCTGCTGAAATAAAGAAGACTAAAATAAATGAAAGCATGTTTCATGTTGATCAATTGGAAGACATAATATATTAAGATGCCAATATTACTTAAAGCAATCTATAGATTCAATGCAATGACTATCAAAATTCTAGTGATGATTTTTGTAGGAAAAAGTCTTTCCTCACGCCTGTAATCCCAGCATTTTGGGAAGCTGAGGCAGTGGATCACCTGAGGTCAGGAGTTCGAGACTGGCCTGGCCAACATGATGAAACCCCGTCTCTACTAAAAAAATACAAAAAATTAGCCAGATGTGGTGATCCATACCTGTAATTTCAGCTACTCAGGAGGCTGAAGTAGGAGAATCGCTTGAACCCAGGAGGTGGAGATTACAGTGAGCTGAGATTGCAACATTGGACTCCAGCCCGGGCAACAAGAGTGAAACTCCATCTCAAAAAAAAAAAAAAAAAAAAAAAAAGGAAAGAAAAGAAAAGAAAAGAAAGAAAAAGTCCTTCCTAAAATTCATATGGAATCTCAAGATCTCAAGAGACCCCCAAAAGCCAAAACAACCTTGAAAAAGAATAAAGCTGAAAAACTAATACTTTGTGATTTCAAAATTTACTACAAAGCTACAGTAATCAAAACAGAGTGGCACTGACTTAAAGACAAACATATAGACCCATAGAATAGAATGAAGATATCAGAAATAACTCTTACATATATGATCAAATGATTTTTGATAAGAATGCCAAGACTAGTTTTTGGGGGAAAGGATAGTCTTTTCAACAAATGGTTCTTAGAAAATTGGATATCCATATGCAAAATCATAATTTCTGGCTCTTCCCCAACACCATATACAAAAATTAACTCAAAAGGAAAAAAAGATCTAAATGTAAGACCCAAAAGTATAAAACTGTTACAAGAATGCATAGGGCAAAAGTTTTATAACATTGGGTTGGGCAAATATTTCTTAGGCATAATATCAAAGGCATAGGCAACAAAATAAAAAAAGAGACTTTATGAAAATTTAAAAAATTGTGCACAAGAAGACAGTATCAACAAAATAAAAAGGTAACCCACAAGATAGGAGGAACTGTTTATCAATCATGTATCTGATAAGAGATTATTATTCCAGATATATAGTGAACTCCTAAAACTCATCAACAAAACAACCCAATTTAAAAATGGGCAAAGGACTTGACTAAACAATTCTCCAAAGAGGATATAAAAATGGCTAGTAAACACATGAAAATATGCTCAACATTCCTAATCATTAGGGAAATACAAATCAAAACTACAATGAGTTATTATATAATCCCCAATACAATGGCTACTATCAAAAACAAAACAAAACAGAAAAACAACAAATGTTCCAGAGGATGTGGAGAAGTTGCAACCCTGTGTACTATTTGTAGGAATGCAAAAGAATATAGCTTTTGTAAAAAAACAGTATGACAGTTCATCAAAAATTAAAAAGAGAATTACCGTACGGTTCGGCAATCCCACCGCTGGGTATTTGCCCAAAAGAATTGAAACCAGGGTCTCAAAGAGACATTTGTACGACTATGTTCATAGAAGTTATTCAGAATAGCTAAAGCATGGAAGCAACCTAAGTGTCCTTTGACAGATGAATAGATAAGCACGATGTAATTCTGACGCATGCTACAACATAGATGAAACTTGAGAACATTCTACTAAGTAAAATAAGCTATTCACAAAAAGACAAATACTTTATGATGATTCCACTTATATGAGGTACTTAGAGTTATCTTAATTACAGAGACAGAAAGTAGAATGGTTGTTGTCAGGAGCTGGGAGGAGGGGGAAATAGGGAGTCACTTTTTATGTAAATGCAAAATAGTTTCAGTTTTACATTAAAAGAGTTATAGAGATGGATGGTAGTGACGGTCGCACAACATTATGAATGTATTTGTTAACACAAACTTGTATACTAAAAAATGGTTAAAATAGTAAACTTTATGTTATGTGTATTTTAATATAATAAAAAATAGAAAAAAAAATCCACTTGGGCATTTTAAGAGAAACGTTAAAATAATTTCAGGAGAAGGAATTTCTGAAATTTTTCTTTCTTCCCCTCTTTTCCTCTATTTATTATCCTTTTCTCTTTTCTTTTCATCCTTCTCTTTTTCATTTTTACTGTTTCCCCTTCTCTTTCTCTGTATCCTTTTCCTTCTTGTCTTCCTGCAACATAACCTGGAGTTTGTGGTATTCATGGTAGGAGGTCTTTGTAAACTTAAGTGTGTAGGAATAAAGGTAGCTTGGCTAGGTTAAGGGTTACTATACAGTAGAGCAATGAATAGTAGAAAAGTAAGTAGGAGATAGATTGAAGAGGGTTGGAAATGCCTTGCCAAGGCATGGTGATTCAGAGTCATTAAGAATGAGAAGGCAGAGGAAATAAGATATATAACATTTTTTCATTATTCTGAATGTGAATTTAGACCTAATCAGTATTTCTCCAGAATTCAGAAGAACAGAAATGTTTATTCTGGGTCATGACTACTCTTGTGAAAGTATCAAGTGATAATGGTGAGCAGTAGCATTCATGTTGTAAGGACTCTACCTGTGTCTGAATTCAGCCTTCAAATTCCAGTAGATAAGAAAAGGTGAGGTGGGGTGCTGGCAAGGGAGGATAAAGAGAATTGTACCTTTCTATTTCCTCCTTGAGAGTATGTTCTTTTCTTATAATGAATCCAACCCAACCCTTGCTTACTCACATACTTCTCTACTTGGATTTTTGTACTGAAGGTATCAGTTCTATCTTTAAGTCTCCCTGATCAGAAGGTTTCCTTTCTCTTTTAGACTTTCTGCCGTACAAAGAAGTTTTAGCAAAGTCCAACAAAGCCACGATGCTTTTTAAAGCCAGCTCTGTTTAAATTGTGCCCAGGTAATTATAATTTCTTTAAAGGTGGCCATTCCTCTGGTAATATGTATTCACACTAAAAAAGATATTTTGAAATTCTTTAACAGCATATTAAAATGCAAATCGGTCTTCCTATTAAAGATTTCTTGAAGTTCTCTGACAACACATTTAAATGCAAATTGCTAAAGTGTAGATGCTAAAATTAAAATGGAGAAACATAATACACCTCCATGAAGGGGCTGAAGTTTTTATAGGCAGAGAAGAAAGTGCCCACTGGTCTCTTGCATTCTCATCACTGTCAGGGGCAGTGACCAGGTCTGGACAACCACACACCTACAAAGACAATCCCACCTCCCATCTGCTCCTCGTTTTTTTGCACTTAATTATGCAAAATGGATATGAGCAGAATAGACTCATTGCACCTAATAACCAGAGCGCATTCTCTTTCTTCCTCCCATGTCCTGTTGTCTGAACAGACACAGGAAAGCAAAGCTACAGACCCACTGGTACCATTTACTTCTGCAATGCTGCCTTGCCCTATTTACAGCCCTTTGGAGAGTTTCTCCCCTTTCTCCCACTCTCTCTAAAACTGTATTGTTACAAGAGGCACATCCCCATGGCAACAACACAAGTGAACACTTTCCCAGTTCTGCTTTTGTGACACCACAGGGTCCTTCTAATTATTCCAAAGAGTGTCATGGGATTC